TACCCACTGAGCTAGAGCTGATGAAGGGAACATGCTTCTCCCAGCACGGGGGCCTCTGTGAAGGCTGCAGGGGTGCGCATGGGTACATGAGAAGCACTGCTTTGGGAAGGTGAGGATGAATTAATGAGGGAAGGGGCGGATGCAGAGGTTTGGGGTCCCCTGCTGGATCCTCAGTGCTGTTCTGGAGGCTGCAGGAACAGAGGGGGAAATCAGGCCTTCCCTCCTGCCCTCCAGGGATCCGAGAAGGAAACCTTGCATTTCTCTTGTAATTCAGGGTTGCACACAGCTTTCACTTTTTTTATTAGCTCATTGATCTTTGAAAGAATTCTTGAGATCAGAAGGACAGTGATCATTAGCTCCTTCACAGGGAGAGAAACGAGGGTTCAGGAAGCCCAGGGCTGCTCCTAAGTGGCAGTTAGCAAGAGAAACCAGACTTCAACTCACAGTGCCACCTAGGCTGACCTGTAGTCTTGTTGGGGAAACAAAGCCAAGACTGTGAGAATAAATAAATATTCCCAAATAGGGTGTGATGCAAATGTGTGATAGCCAAAGACAGGCCTCAAATTATTACCAACAAACACATCAATTAGTGCCGGGTTATACTCTGCCAATCACACCAAGTGTTGAAAGTGCATTTTCTTTTAATCTTTCTATTACTGAACTCTGTCCTGCCAAGCAAAGGATTCAGAAGAGAGAGTATGTGCCGAAATGTTGAACCTGGATCTTAAATTATACTTGGGCTCAAATCCTACCTCCATCTTTGCCAAATGACCTTGGACTCCACTTCTTGGTGCTTCAGGCCCTTCGCCTATTAAATGAGGACCCCCACACCCAGCTCACGAAGGACTGCCACGCGGCAATTCTGCAATAACGTAACGCATAGCTGGCTCACGAGGGAGGGGGTGCTCAATACAGAAAAGGGAGTTGTCGTTTTTTATTGCAAAAGGGAATTCACATCCTTTGGGCACAAACAACATTGCAATACCTTCGTATATCCTTAATCCTCACAACAAGGTAGGTCCCATTACCCCCTTTTTAAAGATGAGGACATTGAGGCCCAGGAAATTAGCTCGCCCAAAGTCACACAGCCAGGATGTAAGATAATCACGTTTGGTCTGGCTCTAAAGTCCTCATTTTTTCACTCTGCCGTAAAACTGATGGTGAAGGCAGAATTGGGCATAAAAGGACCCTCATCAAGGCAAAGTCTGAATGATGGGCAAGTGATCTGTTTCAGAGCTCCCGGGGAATGAGCTGGAAGCTCCATTCCGCTTGCAGGACCCTGGTCTGGGTTCAGATTTGCTGGGCCTCACGTACAAACTCTTGGCCTCGCCTCCTTCCTCATCTCTCTCCTCCTCCTACTTAGGGATTTTTAGGTCAAAGTGCAGCCTCTGTCCTGGGAGATAATCCTGCAACCTTGTCTTCTGAGTGACCTTCCCAAAGAAGGGCTTCGGCAGACACGTTCTCCTCAGCCCAGTCACACAGCCGTCCTTTTCCTCGAGCCCTCGCCAGCCCTCAGGACGGCAAGGCAGCCGGCTGCCTGCAGACGCGTTTTATGCCGAGGAGCTGCTCAGAATAAATTAGCCAGTCCTCAGAACGTGTTAGATACACTACTTCCACATCGCATTTTATTTCTGCTCCAGTCCTTTCCTTCTCAAGCGCCACCTCCCTTCCCCTTCCTGAGGGCTGGCATCTTCACATGTGCCCATCCTGGGGCGGAGGCACATTTCTGCGCAAGAGAATGTTCTCCCTTCTGCTAACAACCTATAGATTCTAAAACCCAGACACGATCAGCAAGTAAAGAACTGAATCAAAAAGACTTTCAATCACCCAAGGGAGGCAGAAGCCTAGTGGGTCCAGAAGAATTAAAGGTAACAAGATAACGAGATAAAAGTTAACAGGAATTAGAAGTAACAAGAGATGATGGCAGCAGTGACCAACCTGCACTGGGGAGGGAGCCGAGAGTTGCGCCTGGGCACTGGTCTCTGTGAGGTGTGGGTGCGGCAGAAACTCCCCGATGGATGGAATTTTTAGAGGCCCCTTGACAAGCCCCTGAGACCCCTTCTCTCAGGGAAAGCTCTGTTTGCCTTTGGACACATCACCGGACTCCTGCTGCTTCCCTGATATTTCCAGGGACCCGAGGAGCCCCTGGATGTCAAGGGGGAGAGGTACTTGGAATGGAACATTTTTTAAGGCTCTTTAAAGGCGTGTCTAGCAGAAGGGCCCCTTTTTCAAATGGAAGGTACCTGAAAGTGTTCTGTGCCGGCACTGGGTTTCTTAACATCTGATATGAAGAACCATCTTCCCCAATACCCCCCACCCCAGTGTCCCTAACACACACCCCTCCTGTCCCCAGCAACTCAAACTCAGATTCTTTGGCTGTACCCACACATACTGAATCAGAACTCTGGGGGTGGAGCCCAGTAATTCCCTAATCACCTGGCCTGGCCTCCACCCCCAGAGATTTTGATTCAGTAATTTTGCAGTGGGGCCTGAGAATCCGCGTTTATATCAAACTCCCACCTGGTGCTAATGCTGCAGGTCCAGTGAGAAGCTCTGGTGCAAGGAGCCTCCTGGCTGCCTCCGGGGCACAGGTTTCTTCCATAAACTAAGCGGTAAACTATGCAAGATCAATGCAGGATGGGACAGGAGGGGAGGAGGGGAGGACAAAAAGAAGGAAAAAGAAAGCAAGCTGGCCTGGGAAGTGATGCCTGGAAAAGAGACTTGTTCTTTCTCAGCACAATTATCAAAACTTCTTTCTTGTTACTTCCATTTCCCAATTCCTGGTCCATATTAATAACCACATACATCAGCGGTTCTCAACCTGTGGGTCGCGACCCCTTTGGGGGTCGAACGACCCTTTCACAGGGGTCACCTAAGACCATCGGAAAACACATATATAATTACATATTATTTTTGTGATTAATCACTATGTTCAATTTGTAACAATGAAATTGGGGGTCACCACAACATGAGGAACTATATTAAGGGTCACAGCATTAGGAAGGTTGAGAACCACTGCACTAATTAATGCCTCGTGGTTGAGAGCCACTAATGGTGTCTCCTGGGCCTTAGAAAAATGGTGGTGCAAGACCTGGCCCAACAAAAGAAGAGTACACAATCCCAGGACCCAAGGTCAGACCCCTGGGGCCACAGGATCTTCACACTGGTCTTATCTAGATGCCTGTGGCCCCCACTTCTCAGACATCAGCATGCACCAGGATCACCCCGTTAACCCTCAGTCACTGACTCAATAGATCTGGGGTGAGGCCCCTCCTGAAAAGCTATATTTTTAAAAATATATTTGTATTGACTTCAGAGAGGAAGGGAGAGAGAGAGAGAGAAACATCAATGATGAGAGAGAATCATTGATTGGCTGCCTCCTGCACATCCCCTACTGGGCATGGGCCTACAACCTGGGCATGTGCCCTGACTGGGAATTGAACTGTGACCTCCTGGTTCATAGATCAACGCTCAACCATTGAGCAACACCTGACACTAGCTGGGCTAAAAATCTGCATTTTTAATAAGCCCCGTGTGATGCAGACGCTGCTTGCCCAGGGACCCTCTCTAGAATCACTGGTGGGCACATGAAATAATGCCAGAGTCGCTTAGAGTCATGTAGACAGCAGCCACCCAAGGACAATTCTGGGAAAGGTGAGTTGCTTCCTGCCCAGCAGGGCTATGAGGGCCCTCATTCTCTCTGTGATCAGCCGCCCCGTGTGTGGCAGCCAGGCATTCCGCAGACACGGCCACCGCAGGGCCAGGACGATGCCCTTTGTGAGACTCACTCTGAAATGTTCCTGTTTCCTCCCTCAGAAAGTCACGGGAACTCTTACATCTGGAAATCTAGACCGGACTCTCTGAACATCACATTTGTCACGGTCTTTGTTATAGAAGTCTCACCGTTTTATACCATTTGCCAGAAGACGCGATGTTCAGATGTTCGGAGTGGGCCCAGAAATGCTTGTGGACTTGACCTGACCAGTCTGCATCCTGTGGACTGGACTCGGGCTTGTTGAGGAAGAGGTGCAGCCTGCCTCCGCTCACTGTGTCGTTTCTCTCCTCTCTCCCCCTCCCCTCCTTCCTCTCCCCCACCCCCAGTGCACTCCCAGAAACAGAACAGGCAGACCTGCGTGCGGAAGAGCCTCATCTGCGCCTTCGCCATGGCCTTCATCATCAGCGTCATGCTGATCGCCGCCAACCAGATCCTGCGGAGCGGCATGGAGTAGCCGCCGCCCGCCACCAGCCGCTGCGGTCCCCGCTCACTGCGCATGCGCACGCCCTGCGGGCCGACTCTTCCTCCACAAAAGCAGATCTGGACGATGCAGACGTGGCACAGTTCGGCGAAGAACCCAAGGTTGCAGTGCAACCTCTGTTGCAAGTCCACTTCATCTCCTTGGCAGGGACACAAAAGGGCTGTCTTCAATGCTTTAATGGTTTTGTTTCCTAATGCAATAAATAGCCAGGAGTTCCGAGTGATCGCTTCAACCACCTGCAGAAACTCCGCACAGGAACTTCATTTTCATCTCGGAACTCCAATGGCCATGCGGGCCAGTGGTAAGAGAGCAAGGGAGAGGCGTGAACACGCAGTCACCTCCCCGCCCCGTCCTTTCAACCCAGGGGCCAACTGGAGACCCCCCAGGGCAACCCAAGGGGTGACTTCAGGGTTGCCGCAGAAGAGGGGGCTCTCCACCTGTCCCTGGATTTCCTCCTCCACCTAGTGGAGCCCCCCTCACCCCCACAAGGCATGAGGGGTGCAGGACCTGCAGCTGCTCCCATGCTTCCGTTCTTACAGCCTTTCTACAGGACTCTAGCTGGCAGAGCTGGGGAGTTCTCGGTTTCCATCTGCACTTGGCTTTCAGTTCCTAGAGCCCATCACGCACCAGCATTTTGGAATCTGCAGAGAGCCTTCCTCCCAGCTGTGCTGCTTGTGCTGCCATTAAAGAACAAAGAAGCATACTTGTGGGCATCTCTATAATCACATAGACACGTAGATAGATGTATCTATTTGGCTTCTTCATGTGTGGCATCATTCTTCCCTAATCACTTACTCCTCATATAAGCTTATCCTCTGACACGCATCCCTGCCTCTTTTGGGTGGGAGAGGTCGTTTGGGGGACGGGGACTGAGACTGGTGGCGAGGAGGTGTTGCAGCCCACGCCCCAGTCGTCCGCAACAATGGAGCCCGCACACGTCTCCCTGCCAGAAGACCTCTGTAAGTTAAGGTCCTCACGCATCTTACCTTTTTCTCACCTTACAGTTGGCTTGCTAAGTTAGTCTTCCCCAGATAAAAAGAGGAATACAATCCAGAGTGGAAAGATCAAACTACTGTATTTTCCATAACATCGTCGGGCATTCAGATCCTGCAACTGACTCGTTTCCATGAGAGAAAAAATAAAACAAAACAAAGAGATGTTAATAAGCTTAGCCAACAGGACAGGTCACTTATCCTGCCTGCGGAATACTTCTGTCGGGGAAGGAAACGGACTGCAGTGGTCTGTTTTCAACACCATTTCAAGTCTGTGATTTCCTGACTTTTCCTACGTGTCATATCAGCCACCACTATTGATTCAAGCTTGCATAGTCTGGTTAGCCAATACCCTTTCAATGGAACATTTCCCTTTGTACTTTTCCAAGCTCAGGTCTTTATTTCTATGATGGAATCGTCTTGCTCCTCTTGCATCCGAAAGCTTTGAGGTTCCAGACCTTTCCTCTCTCACTGCAGCCAGGCAGGCTTTTTGGTGGGGTGTGTGTTCCTGAACCTCTCCTCGAGCTCCCCCTCTCCCCCCCTCCCCCTCCGCTTTCTCCTTACTGCCTTCTTGGACTTGGAGCATCCACAGTCTCAGCTTAGGGTCTTCTTCCAATGCACCTCTGTCAGCGCTTCAGGCAACAGCCTGGGGGCAGCTGTAGGAACTCCCCCACTGTGGGAGACCGAGAATATCCATGATGAGCACAAGAAAAACTAGGGATTGAGCCATAGTACAGAGGAGGGAGCAGGTGTAAGCTTTCGAGAGTCCAGGGGTATGAGAGTCTCTCTGAGAAAATGCCTGGGGCCCCGCACATCCAGGCCAGGAAAGCACCAGGCTGCCTGCCCACCCTGCCCTGCCACAGCACACCTGCACATCTGCCTCTCCTCTCTCCCCTTGCCTGACTCACCAGGCCCCCCCCCCATCAGAATCCTGAACAAGAACAGGTCCAACCATAGCATGCAAATAGGACAGCTTCACCATTAGCTCCTGCCCAGAGCAGCTGGCCCTCTCTATCTGAATTGAACTTAGGTGGGAAGGGCCCCTGAACCACTAGACTACATTATACTGGGGCAGGGGGTGCAGGATCCTAAGTAGACTAGATGGAGACCCCAGGAACAATTCTTAAAGGACTGTGCCCCACGAGATGGGATTGCAATGCTCTAGGTGAGGCTGGACTTGAGGGCTACGAAAGAGTACTTCTTCAAAGGCTGCTGTTCTGCAGGTTCTTCTGCCTCCCACTGGAGAACAGGGACCCTGATGATGTGAGGGTTAGCCTCTATTGGAAGACAGATTAGCCACCATGCAGGGGTGGAGATTAAAAGAGTTCCCGCAAGGCACCAACAGCCTGTTCCCTACAAAGTCCTCCCCCCAAAGAGGACTTCTTTCCTCTCCCAGTGACCTAGTGACCGGGAAGACAGCCATCCTACCCGGAGAAAATCAAGGAGAGTGCATTCTTTGTGGGGGTTGCTAGGGAGAGGGGACACGAAGGAATCCACAGAACTCTCTTGAATGGGCTAGAAGTTAACCTCCTCCATGGTAACCTCAGGTGTGTCCCACAGGCTGCAGGGTGTGGAGACAACCCAGAGTAGTGGCCTTCCTGAGACTTTGGGAGCGAAGAGCTCGTCCCAGTGACCTGCACCCTGGCTCCTTTGTCTGGATGGTCTTTGTCAGGCAGCTCAGGGTGTTGACTTCCCCCAGCCCCACCCCCCAGTCCTGTCCACACCAGTGCCCTCCAGGGCCCCATACCTGTCAGCATCCTCACCACAGGGGTTGTGATGTTCCTGGATGGAGACTCTAGAAGATCCTGGTCCCCAAGGCCTTGTGGCCCCAGTGGGAGGTGACCTCTGCAGGAAATGAGAGGGAGGACATCAACTCTCCCTCTGTGCTCTTAGCTAATAGACATAGCGGCCTATTCTGAGTGACTGGCAAATTGAGTTTGGCTCATTCTTGTTGCAAGAATGGGTGCCCCCCAGGCCACACAGGGATGATCTAGGAGGCATTCTGCCTGAGAGACAAGAAATACAGACCCTGACGCCCTTGGCCCCCAGAGAAGCTGTCACCCATCACTCCAGAAGCAGACAGGGCCCCCAAATAGGACCCAGCATGGGAACTATTAGCAGTGGCTTCCAGAATGTGGATCCCATGTGACCAATCTGTAAAAAAAAAACAAGGGAGGGGGGGTTGCCATGGCAACCCTTGCATTCCACCCAGAGTTTGCCAAGGCACACAAAAATAGGGAACATTTTCTTAAGGAACACTTGGGTTCTGCCTGATTGCAACCTGACTCCCTGCATCCACATCCTGCTGTGGGGAAATTACCCTTCAAACATCTCCTGGTTTCTCTGCCTTTTTCTTTTGTGCTTGAACCTGCCCTCCCATGTGCTCAGGAGAACAGGAGCTCCCTACTCTCCCCCTCCCCCACCTCCCAGGGCCCAGAGCAAAGACCTCTCAATCTGGGTGAAAAGTCAGAAGTGTCATCTGGAAGGCAAAGCTATTTTAAGCCTCAATCGTCCAAAGCATCTGTTTGCCGGTTAAGAAACTCTCCCATGAGCCAGAAATGCGAACTGAAGTGAATGGAGGTTGACATGTGGTCTTGGGCAAGTCCAGTGGTTTCGGAAGACGCTGGGTGTTTCATTTGCAGAGAAGATGTGTCCTGCAAGTCTTCGTTCTTGATACCTGCTCCTGTCTCAGGTTTCACAGGACAAATGGTCTCCTCCAGCGATTTCCAATCTTTTTCATCTCATGGCACGCATAAGCAAATTACAAAAATTCTGCGGCACACCAAAAAATGTATTTTTTGCTGATCTGACAAAAAATAGGTGTAATTTTGATTCATGCACACTGGACGGCTATTACGTTGGCTGTTGTCACTTTTTTTATTTGACAACCTAAGGGAAAAGAGGTCAGTGCCCCTGACAGTTAGGTAGTGCATGTTTTAAAAATTTTTGCGGCGCACAAGTGTGCCTCGGCACACCGATTGAAAATTGCTGGTCTGCTCTCTATAGTTAGCCAGAAGAACCTAATGAAAGAGAGCAAGCATAGTTTGACAATAATGCCCCTCCCAACCTCCCATCCACGGAATCATAAAGTGATATATCTAAGAACGGAGAGGAAGAAATTTATTTTATTCCAAATGCCTTCTCTAGGTTTAAGTCCAGACTCAGATCATAAATCAAAGAGACGTTTGCTCTTCACCAGTAGCTAGAGCCTCCCTGGGACCATATGAAGGCATGACTAGAAGAGTACAGGTGGGACTGCACAGCTCGACCCCTTAGCTGGGCTGGCCCAGCCATGGTGGCCGATGCTGTGGCACCCTGTTCTGCGGGGCCCTGGCTCTCTGGCCCTGTGGAAGCTGCTGAGCGCTGCTCCTCCCAGCTGGAGGTCTCGAATGACACTGGCTCATCTTACTGTACTATTTCTCCAAAGGCCCATAGGAATCATGTCACTCACCCTGCTCCACTGACATAGAGAAGGTCCTGAACCCCACTGTAAAAAGGAGGTGCCCCTTTTTCTGTAATGCCATGATAATGCAGAATGACTGAGCTTAAGCTTCTAGACTACGGCACATACCAGTTACATTACTGGAGACTGCAGGGCTGCCTTCCCGGCAGAATATCTGTCTGGAATGACCGCAGGTCAGAGTGTCACGTGGCCTCTTCAGCGACCTCTCAGGGCTAAAAGTCCGTAACCTAGAGGCCTTGCCATAGCCATCCTCCCTCACCACCTCATGGCTAAACGCCCCCAATAGGGGGAAAAATCCATCAGAAGTAGAAGAGAAACAGCAGCTAGGGTTTTCAATCTGAATTATTTAAAGTGATGGCAAAAGAGAGGAGGATTGGGCTGCTGCTTACGGACCTGTCTCCACGACGATTTAAATGTCAGAACTGTTCAGCCTCACTCCATCCTTCCTTTGACTAAGTCACTCAGGGGACTGTCCTCAGTTAAGTGGCCTTGCCAGAAACACTTGATTTGGAGGAATAAGGTCAAGTACACAAACCATCCACGCATTTCTCTTAGTATCCTATGCTCACTGCTATTGCACACAGTCTTTTTTGCAGCTATGGTTTCTACTTTATATGGATTTGGGGCCCTTTTTATATGGTCTCAAAGGGCATTATAACAATGCTCCAAAAGTCTTCAAGGTGAAATTAATTGGATTCAGTTGGCTTGAAATATAGCCACAGAGAATCAGGTTTTGCCAGCCCCACAAAACAGTTCTCTAAAACTGGAAAAGACTTATCCAGCCTCCTGCCCCTTACCCCTACCTTGGGTAGCTTGCGTAGCCCCCTGGGGATGCTGGCATAGCCCTCACCCACCTCTTTTCCTTGAGCATGACGGGCGGATGCTTCTGACATTGTTAGAAGTTATTGTCCAAGTGAAAGGATGCAGAGGCTGGAACTTTCCGGTGGAGTAGAAGAGCAGAATAATTAGGAAGGAATACCCCAGGGAATGCAAAATCCAAGTGTGATGTTGCCCCAGGCCTGGACCTAAGAGAGAAAAAGACAGCTTTTAAGGGGCTGCAGAGGCTGGTCTCTGAATGTGTTCCCTGTCTATCAGGTCGGCTTTGGGAACACAGGGCATTGAGTGCCATGGGGCTGCTGCCATCAACCTGTTCCCAAGGACATGCACTGGGAATTTCAAGAGCGGGCTGGTAGCTCCTCTCTCAGTGGGGGATGCTGACAGTGGGTGGTCAAGGCCCAATGCCTCTCCCAGGCTCTCTGTCTGGCCTTGGACCTGTTGAACTGAAGCCAGGAGAGCAGAGCATAGAACCAGGAGTGTGGGCAGCTCTCTCAGCTGGGAAGGGCACAGGAGGCAGGACCCCAGGTGCCCCTGCCACGGACCAGCTGGATAATTTTGAGTGACTTCCCTTCTTGGCCTCAGGTTTCTCATCTCTAAAGCAAGAGGAAAGGTAAACCAGATGACCCAGAAGAGCCCTCCCCTTGTGACTCGTTTGTCTGAAACAAGTCAAAATGAATGCCCATACTTGACAGGGCCTTATATCCCCTATGAATTACATTAGTGACTGAGTTCCTTTTTTTTAACACAAGTGCCAAGAGGCCGTTTGTAATAAAGTAT